CACACCACGGCAAACCATCACACCACCACTAAACAACTCCTCAAGACCCCCCAAACTCAGCTATACCAAACAATTAACCCACATCAAGCTCAAATCTCAAACCTGTTTCAAAATCCAAAAAAATCACTAAACTTTAAAACACAAATTCATGCATTAATACTAAACCAAATCAAAATCTAATAATATATATGAATTCCTAACATCCATATTAGGCTGTGAGTATACCTCTTAGTGCTCGAAGTAGTCTTTGCAAGAAATCCAAAAATTCAAAGTCTATACTTCCTCTCACTAACTTCTCTCTCTCCTCTCTTGGCAGTTCTACCTTATCCAGAGACTTGCTGAACTCTTAAGCAACTCCTCAATCACTTTGGAAGCTTGGAGAAGGCTAAGGAGAACTCCTCTTGTGTTGCCAGGCAACAGCTTGAAAAGAATGTCATGCAATGACATTTTCGTAAATAACTCAATTTCGTTTTTTTTAATTCTATTTTTTTTTATAATTATAAACCTATTAAAACATGCACTATAAAATATATATATTTTTTTCGTACACATGCATGCTCGGGTTTTACAATATGCTAAATAATTGTTAGTTATTGATTTCCTTTTGATTGCAAAGTTTATTTTGAACAAAATACATGTTTTATATTCATGAAACTCCTGTTCTAGATTTTCAAAATCCTAATTTTGCTAAATACATGTTTTTATGCATAAAATAAATTGGTTCTTGATTTCTAAATTTCAACTCTTAAATAAATTATGTTTATATTCAAACACTCATTTTATCTCCAAGAAATTGAGGTTTCTAGGCAAAACCTTAGAAATTTTATTATCGCAATTATGAAGGCATTCTTGATATGATCTTTTTCATATTCATTTATTCTTGTACATTGTGAAATTATGATACATGAATTTTGATGGAAATTGTGATTGGTTGAGTATACGATTTTTGATAAAGTTGTGATTTTTATCTCTTGTATGGTTTGGGTGCGACAGACTTGGATTGCTTTTGAAAGATACTGTAGAGTGTTAGAGATTAACCTATTCTAGTGAGGGTGAGATAGTTGGGTAACATTTGTAAGGGGCTGTTTTCTTAAGAGGTCAATTGTCATTGTTCATGTAGATTCGAAGCTGATGGATGATATACATTTTCAGGGAATAGATTTGTCAGTGTTGTACGAGATGGTACATGCCCTTTCTAAAGTTATTTGTGATGTAGCCCTACGAGAAATGATTGTGATTATTTGTGTTTATGGTGGGTGAATGAGATGAATTCGTTGTGTAGATTCATGAGAAGCAACAAACTTACAAGAGGTGGAATACATAAGACACTTGAGATGATGTTTACTGAATTATTTTCTATTTACTCTGATTCCTAAATGTTTACTTTTGTTATTGAATTAATGTAGTTTGTAAACTTGAGATCGTTATTGCTGACATTGTTTTCCCTCCAAAAGTTATATATGTTATTTTAGAAAAGAGAGTTCTCTGTTTTACACTTTAAAAACCTTATTTGGATTTGAGAAAGATTTCCTACGGGTTTTTGCTCACCCCCTACAACAACTTTTACAGATTTTGGCATACAGTAGGATGTCGAATTGAATGAGTAGGTGGATTTTGAGACCGAGGTCGATTAAGATGGTGATCACGAAGTGGAGACTTAAAGATTTTTTTTCCTCGGTTTAAATTAGACAGATTGATGTAAAATAATGTTTTGAATAGTTTTAATTTATTTCGCTGCAAAATAACATTTATTTTTGGGTTGTCAGTATGGAAAGTAAACGATGTTTATTTGAAATTGTTTTCATTATTTATCTAGTTGATGGATGGTTTGTTATTTTAATGATTATACTAGCTGCTCTCATGATTGGATGTTGTGTAATTAGTTAATACCTTCCAGCGAGAATTTTGGGATGCTACAACCCATTGTCACCCCCACCGCCCAACACAAACACACACCATCGCCGCCCACTGCCACCACTACAACTGCCATCATCACCCACCAATACTATAACCCACCACCACCCCACTGCCATCACCCACCACCATTTTCCATCACCACCAGCCGCCACCCATTGCCGCCATCAACCACCACCACCCTCAACCACTACTCACCATCGTTGCAACCATCACCACCACTGCCACTACCAACACCACAACTACTATAAAACCCTAACCCATTTCCATAATATTCAAAGCGCTACTAACCTTTATAGGCACTAAACAATATAGTCTCTAAATAATGAATAAATTTTGATACCAATTTCATAAATATAACGAGTGTTTGTTATTAAACTCAATAGATAAACTTAGTGTACACACCTATAATACGATTTAATTATAAACTTGCAATCAAGCTCACTACAATTTACATGCCTCAACAACATTATTGAACACTTAGAATGAAAACCCTAAAAATTGGTAGTTCAAACATTCACGAACTTCCCTACCATTTGTTAATCTGAAAAAGAGGAAATAATATAGGATGAGCATCAATAACTCAGTAGAGAAACTCAATTCCAAAGCATGCTAATTTGACATATTTTGACATGTTTGGGCAATATCGAAACAACACATTTCATATAAGTAATAGAGTAGAAAACATTGAGCGAACATATTTAAGTTTGTAAACAGTAATACAATCACAACATCAATAAAATGTTGCATCAGTGGACAATCATTCTGATAGACCACTCAGGGTCAATAGGAACATAAAATCCAACCTTTTGGAGACTTGCACCCCGAGGTAGATATGCTCCCTAATCATAATTCGATACTCAAGTTCGAAGACCAACAAGATCACCTAGGAATTTTTGAACTCAATGAAACATCCTCTACGACATCAACCTGGAATGTAAACCCTCCCACACTCCACCGTTGAGCAATTAAATTTAATTCCAAAAGGATCCGGGAGTTTCAATCATTTCCAATGATACAATCAATATGAACAAGTAGTGCGAATTGCATTAAACAACCTTAATCTAGGTCCACATCCAAGTCAATATTTAAAACATCTAATTATATATTTCAAAACATGTTAAGGTATCATAAATACCATATTTCATAAGTTTGAAAGGAGTTTGGAAAATCTCACTCGATCTAAAATTGAGGAAACCCTACAAATTATAGCATATAATCTAAAACTGCAAAAAAATGAACGATATTATTTTTCAATGAAATTTCAACTTTGCCACGGCATGATCTTTAACTAGTCAATGCAAAGTGTTTTTGTCAAATATGCCCCTCACTTGGTATTACATGGATGCCACATGATGTTGGAATGATGAAAAAGTAGATGATGTTAATTGTGGGGATCAATTAAATGAAAATTGAATACATGAGGGACTAATGTGATGTAATTATAATGTTGGAAACTAAAATAAAACAAAAAGAACACTTTGGAAACCACTGCCGCAATTAACTCTTAATTTTTTATAAAAAATATCAATTTAACACATTAATAAGTAATTTTCTAATAATGTTAAAATGTGGTGGGAGTATGGGTGGCGTTAGGGTGAGTGCAAGGGTGACAGTAGGCCAGTGACAATGAACAAATAAACAAATTCAATTGTAAAATAAAATATAAGAAATCACAATTGTAATCTAAAAATGGACTTGCATTTATATTAACGGAAGCTAATAGCATGGTCGCATTGTAACACTTTTGATACATTCAAATTGTAATGTAAGACTTAAAATTTTTTTAGGGAGAATTACACCCCATCCTCTAAAATTTGTTACTTAATCACTTAAATCCCCTAATATTTAAAATATTACATACAGACCCTATAAAGTTTGTGCGCGGGTAACATTTAGACCCTTACCGTCATTGTCCGTCAGTATATTCATTAGTAAATTATATCCAGACCCCCTGAAATTTATAGGCGTATAATATTTAGACTCCTATAATTTAAAATATTATACTTAGATAAAAAAAATACTCTAATCAAAGATAGAATATCAAATATTTTAAATTTTACAACCAAAATTGATGTTTTATTGTATCATTAATTGAAATAAAATCAAAAATAAAAATTCAATTTTTTCTTAAAGAAATCATAATTGGTATACAATTATACTATCTATTGGAATAAAACTAAAAAATTAAACAAGGGATCTAAGTCATTCATAATAAAACATGAATTTTACAATTAAAATTCATGTTCTATTATGTCATTTATTAAAATAAATGAATATCTAATTTTTTCTTAAAAATCATAATTATTATGCAATTATACTATATGTTTAAATAAAACAAAAAAAATCAAACAAGGGTTAAACTGTAATGGACACAATATTTTCTAGCTTTAATTGAGGTAATTAGGTTGTTTAAATGACCAAATTAAATTCCAATAAATAGTCTAATTGTATATTAATTATGATATTTAAGAAAAAATAGATTATTTCAATAAATTTCATAATAGAACATAAATTTTGGTTGTAAAATTTAAAATTTTTGATATTCTAGCTTTAATTGAAGTAATGTTGGTCTAGATATAACATTTTAAATTTGAGAATTTAAGTATTACACGCCTACAAATTCAGGGGATTTGAATATAATTTATTCACGGATATACTAACCGACATTGATGGCAGTAGTCTAAGTGTTATGCGTATACAAATCTTAAAGGGTTTTTGTATAATATTTTAAATATCAGGAGGCCTGAGTGATTAAGTGATAAATATTAGGGGTCCTTGTGGAATTCTCCCAATCTTTTAGAATGCAAAGTGCAAAAAGCCCACAATTGAAACGTCGGCGTATTTACTGAGTAGTTCTGTTACTTCTGTACCAGGCAGGAGTCCAGGACACGAATGTTCTCGATCAACCATCCGCTCACCATTGTCCATTGAAACCCTCGAAACACCCAGAGCATTGTAGATTAGGTGTCAAGCAATTCCCTGTTGCAGATATCACCAGCAAGCTGCGATACTGTAATTCCATTTCAGTAGGGCAGCCGATTGGGACTATTGAAATCAATTGGAGTGTGAATCCCTAATTGCCCATGGAGTCTTCTTCATCTTCATCAGTTATAACTCCGGAAGACGTGTTGGAGTCGTTGATGAACGACGGTACGATCGATGCCATCCGGTTGAAGATTATCACTCAGCTCAAAGCCAACGTATGGAGATTTCTTTTTATTTTTGATTAATCGGCATCTTCACAAAACACACACACATGGACACAAATATATGCATATATATGTGTGTGTGTGTTTGGGTATATATATGTGCATCTTTGAGACAGCCCTTGACAGGGGAAATTGATACCTATTGAAGAACACCCATTTGTAATTTCTGGGTTAAATCTAACCTTGTTCAGTTTGTTGGTCTTCTGGATTGTTTCGGACTACCCAGTATATTAAAATACAAATTTTTTTTTTGAGGGAAATATGTTCCAGTTTGGAAGTCAGAACTGTTTTTCAAGTGAAGGGCTAATACTGTGCTTCCTGTTATAGGAGGAGCTGAAGAACACCACCATTAAGATGGTGGAGCAGAGTAAGGTTCTTAATACTCCTGGGGCGGAGAAACAGACCAAAAGAGAGCTGTTTGACTCTCTTCGACAAGAACTCGAGTAAGTGTTACTGTTGCTCTCACCGCTTACATTTGAGGTATATTTAAGTGCTCAACTTCTGGGTTAATCTCAGAGTGTTAAATTATTTTTCGTCCTACTTGTTCTCATTGGTTATTACCCATTAGATGACATTTTGGCCTCTCTCGAACAGGCTCTTTTATTTGTTCTGGATTGAAGATCCTCAGTCTCCTATTGAGACATATTTCCAAATGGCTCATGGAAAATCAGGCATGAGGCTCATATTTGGGTCATATACAAATAGTGAGTCAGATGTCCTGCATGTGGACCCATTGTGCAATTGAGACACGTTTTGCCTACAGATTCACTCGATAGATATGTTTAATTGAATGTTATTTTTGAGAAAAAGCGATGATGGTGAAGAACCATGCTTTTTTCGGCTGTGGAAAATACAATACATCAAACTAGTGCATGTCGCTGTTATTGTAGCCGAGATTGGCTATCTTCTCCTAATAACTGTGGTACTTGACCCCATGGCAATGGTGATAATGTACTTGAGTAGTTAACAAGTTTGGTGGTTGTGTCACGTACTATGTCATTGGGCATATCAGCAAGCTTTCTAAACTGTTTAGATTCTAGAGAGAAAAGAGAGAAAGAAAAAGGAAAGTGACTTGCTTACATTGGAATGGGTAGACTAGGTCTATATATATTAATGAATTAGATGTTATAGAAATAGCCGAACTAATTGTAACTAATGAAAATATTACTTTTATTCTTGATTTCTATGTAGATGAGATAGTGAGTATTGGTTATGACACTAAGAGGGTATTGATTTGTTGGAACTACATATGAGTATATAAATGGGAGGCTCTGTACTATTCAAACCAACTTTGGGTAGCCTTACTATTTCTATATGGGGAAGCACGAATGTGAATACGAAACATGAATATGATGCAACACGGGCACACCATTTTTTGGGAAAATAAGATACGGACCCATCCTAGACATGCTAAATAATATATATGGGTGATTATATTTACCTTCCTTGATGTTTGTCCAAATATCAAGGAGACCCCACACCCCTTGTCAGTAACGATCGTTTAGTTAACTTGATGGGTTTTGTGAATTGAAGATGTTACCCTAGACAGTGATATATATTGGAGATTAGCCCCAACTCTCCCATCTGCGATTCTGTCTTGTCAGTCCCTTTTCACCAGACGTTTCACACCTTGCTAACTCTCTGTCTGTCTAACTTTTTCTTCCTCTTATTGTTTTTTTGTAATTATACACGTATTAGTTCTTGAAAAGCGTATATGGTCATCAAATACATGATACTCTAAACTGATTTTGAGGCACGGTAATTCATTTTTCCGTATCATTATTATTACTTTATATATGCATACATTCTGCACATTGCAGCATTCCTCCATCGTCTTTGATGCAGTGGGTCTGTATTTTTGTCTCGGCTGATTTTTGAATATCCAATAGAATTGGGTTGAGGAGGATGCTTTGCAGCCCAAAGGACACCCAAAATGCAGATTGACACATTCATTGTTTGTGAGCCATAATGAGGCATCATGGTATTGGTGCCAGTGGTACATTTTCTCAAACCAAGAGATGCTGGGCTACAGATACATATGCTTATGGCCTAAAGGATCCATATGAACAAAACTACAGTGGCCTAGGGTCAAAACTACATTGGCCTAGGGTCTTACTTCACATGGCATCAACTTTATTTACCACTTCCTCGGTGGCCCACTTGCCCATGGCCTCGTCCAAGCTTCCCCCATATGGTATATGGTGCCTTTGTAGCAGGTGCTTAACAATTACACTCCACAAAACTACGGTCTTCTCTCATTGAATGGAGTGTAGGACCTTAGGTTTATTATTGACTCCGTAGGACTCCTTCAAATAGACTAGCGCCAGCAGCTAAGTAGTGATATGCCCTTTCCATGATTGTTTGATGTTAAAAGTAGGTCGTGTTTTGTAAACAAGGAGAGTTCCTAGCTGCTGAATTACAGATCCATGGTTCATTTTTCTCAATCTGATACCATCTCACTAATTGCCTCCTGCCCTTTTCTGAATCTAGTTCTTATACTTCATGTTATAAAACTGGAATGGAAAATCCTAAAAAGTTACTACTCTGAGGAGGTTGGATGCACATTTTTTCTTCAACCCTCATCAGGATTTACACTGTTGAAACCCAGTTTTTCTTATGCCTAATTTAGATGTTCAAAAGCCATCTAATGTAAGGTAAGCCAATTCTTGTATTTTACTACAAATATTCTTGTGGTTCTTATGTTCTGCACTTTTTTCTTAATGTCCTGCAGAACTTCAGTGCTTGAGAAAGCCTCAAAGTCAGTTTGGGAGCTGATTTTGGACAACAATGGGCTGGGGAAGGAAATAAATGAAACAGTGGAGAAAGTATTTTGTCGATTGAGTGGCCGGGAACCTCCCTTATTTCCTCCAAATGTTGAATCCAAATCAGAGAAAGAGAAACAGGACAGCGAGAATGGCAAAGGAAAAGAAAAGGAATTTGAAAAGGAGAATTCGAACTGTAGATCGAAGAAAAGGAAGTTTGCACCGATGAATGTGGAAGAGGGTTCAGATGAAGTTGCAAGCAGGTCCAGCAATACTCCAGCTGATTTTAGCAAATTGCCTCAGCCAAGTGTGACAAATTAACTCTTTCTGCAAATTGACTATGATTATTCTCATTAGTAAGGCTCTATTTTTATTAACCACCCCTCTTTAAATTCATGAAGTTATCTTCATTGACCACTTTGTTGTGAGCAGTACACTAGTGCAACACAATTGATTTATTAGGTTTCTTTGTGAATGTTCAAGTGAAGAATGATTTTTAAAGTCTTTTGTTGCTTTGATTTCCCTGAAGCTTCCAATGTCTGGATGCCATATAATTGCCATTAGTTATTAATTGTGTCTAGGGGTCTAATCTTTTATTAGTAATATATTTTTGGTTGATGAGTCTTGCTGACCTAGCACTCTAACTTGATTTCATCAATTAACAGCCTCCACGTGTGTACATGATTGTTAGTCTCCATCATAGCATGGCAGCATAGATCTTGAGATTTCAAGGGTGCCTTGAAGACGTTGAACTGGAATCAGGGTCCTATGTTACATCATGGCATCATATCCCTTTTTGTTGAGATGTGCTTGAGAGTGTTGGTCTGTCTACAAAGGCTAGTGCTGCACAGCACCACCAACTCAATGTACTTGGTTCTTTGTGGCTCTTCCATGGTCATCCTCATGAGAGCCAAGGTGTGACTCACCTAATTTGGAACACTTTTCAACACGACATTGGTCTGCACAATAGGGACTATGGTGCCATACACACTGAACACGAGTTTGATGCTTGGCAGGTTTTACATCCCTGGCCTGATATGGTTAGGCACCTAGTTTGCTTAGGTTATTGGATCGTTGGGGTCCAATTGAATCCAACCGAAGGCGCCCCCATTTTTACTAAGGCGATAGAATTGCACTAATCAATTTACACTTAGTTCTCTTTCCATTGCTTGTCTTGGGCATTGGTGGTGTCTTTGAGCTGTTACTTGGGTTGCCTTGTCTTCCCCTCAGACCAACACCCCAGGCTCTCTGTCAGTATCCATCTCCATTTTCAGCTCTCTGTCAATATTTTGTAAAGGATATTCCAGTTGTATGGCTATATTGATTTGTGGATACAACGTTGATTTGTGGTCATTGATACTTCATCATACTAATTTTTATATTAACACATTAAATAGATAAACAATAGCATCCGTCTACAACTGCAATTCACTGAGTGAAATAACCAAACTCTGAGACCCAAAAAAAAAAGAGGAAAAACTAACCAAAAGTTAAAAGAGGGAACTGAAAGCTGCCTGATCTTCCCGGTTTGGATGTTGTTTGATCAGAATTCAGATGTTTCGCCTAGCTTGAAGAGATAAGAAGGTAGTGGGTCTTATACTCTTGTTATTATGTTGCATTTGTTTTTATTATTTAATCATGATAAGAGATATAAGACACTGACTGCATGAACATGTTCTTTTTTCTTCCGCTGTTTTCTAGGCAACCAACCAGAGGGCTGGGCTTTGGCTTGGTGTTTTGGTCCCTCGAACAGAAGATCCTGGTTCCACCCCCAGTCAAGAGCCTTGGCCATTGTACAAGTTCTGCTGTAGGAGTAACTCATTAGCTTTTGGGTGGAATTTCTACAACATGGGCATTCTTGGTAGCAATATTTATGCAGTAACATAATGGCTAGGAGGATCTGGAAGGCTTAGTGGGTTTTTCGGTCTAGCATTGAGTACGGCACTTTTTCTCTCCCAAGGCACAGCTTCATCTCCACTTCTGTGGGGCTTCCAGGATTGCAAAAATGGTACCTCATCAACTTATGAACAAATGTAGAATGTTTTGTAAAACTATGCATGTATGCATAAATGAATCTTGTTCATCCATTGTATGATGGATTATATGACTGAGGATCTGGAAGTCTTAAAATTTCTGATCTGAACCAATTTGTTTTGTAGAATCTAGATTAAAAAGAATTATGCTTGATGACAGAAGTTTAAGATTTAGAGAGGGGGTAGATTAAAAAGAATTATGCATGATGACAGAAGTTTAAGATTTAGAGAGGGGACTATAATTTTGAGTCAAATCTTTGCTCATGACTTGGCATAAGCATTTCTATTTACTGCTCTGCCAATTCATATACTTGTCCAAGTCACCTACTTGTTAATCAGCACGTTTGTCATCATTTGTTGTTTTTCCTATTTCTTACGTCTGGAAATTTTGTTCCATGCTTGGCATTTACTAATTCAACTGCTGGGTATAGCTTTGGCTTATATATTGGTTTCATTAGTACAGGCACCAATCTTTTGATAATGCCTGAAATTGGATGACTTACAAGTTCCGTAGTATTTGTTTCAAAAATCTTCCCTGGTCTTTTTTGCATTAATAAGATGTTTGTTGTGGGGGTTTTTTTTGGCATTTAATAGGGGCCCCTGCCTTGAGGTTACGGCTTCAAAACCTGAAGGCAGCCACATTGCGCAAAGATCAAATATTAGCTGTGTACTTAATTTATGTCTCTGAGACCTCATTAATAGCAACTAAACAGGGTAATATTATTTTGGCTTCCCCAGGATAAGCTCCTCGATTTTCTGGTTTGCTTTCCCATGAAGTACATGTTCTGAACTGCCTGCCAATATGCAGGAGCTTATGGCAAGGATGACCGGTTCAAGATTGGTCATGGTAACAACTGTACAGACAAAGTCATTTGACTTTGTACTCTAGTGGGTTGTAGGGTTTATATGTTTCTTTGTTTCAGTAGACTTCGTAGATTTTGGGGCTAAACCTAACTGTCAATGCATGCAAGGCTATACAAGGATTTTATTTTTCAGAATCCTTTAAAATTTTGAGCCCATGAAGTTGAAAAATTTAGGATTATATCTACACCTGGGTAGCTTATTTGCTTAATCGAGGAGATAATCTCTTGATTTGAGCATTCATCTATGTAGCTTAAGATATATTAATTGAGGAGCGAAATATGTTTTAGATTAACCGAGTTTTTAATGGAGTTTAAAATTATTTATAATTTTTTTTGTCAAAGATTTTTGAAAATTGTTGTTAATGTATTGCTTTTTTTTTTCTTTGTAACAGATTGTTGATGGACTACAGACTTGGGGTTCAAGAATGAACTCTTTCATGTGGTACAATTATTTGAACATTCGGATGACTGTTGACACATTTTGAAATTGGATGTCTTTTACAAAGTTCAGGATATTGAAGGTTATTTATTTTATTTATTCAATACTTGTGCATAAATATTTAGGCATCATGGGGTTTGCTTCCGTTAGATGTTGATTAAATACATGGGATTTGAATTTTGTTAGGAAATTCACTATTTGAAAAAGTGTTTTCAAAACAGAAAAAAGTGTGACTAAATAAGCTTTATGATAAATGATTTTTGCCTCTCTTTCCAAGATGAATTTTTTTTTTTGTTTGTCAATTTTTTTGCATTTTTTTGTCTACATTTTTGTTTTGGATCAAACTTTTTTTTTTTTGTAGCTGCTGCAAGAATTGCAGGGAAGAAGGTTAATGTTCTTCTTCGTATCAATCAAAGATGTGGATCCTTAGGTGTGTAGCTGCCACATCAAATGCATGTGATGCAAATAATGTAACCTTATGTGACTTTCCGTTATCTTCATATTAAGAAGGGAAGCTGTTGTGATGGGTCAATGGTTGATAACAAAAGATATGAGAAAAATCTAAGCATTAGTAATCACATTGAGAGATAATTTTTGTGCCTCCTGAGGTTATTAATTATGATAGGATCATCTACACTTTCATTATTGCCTTCAGTCATGTTATCTGAGTTAAATTCAAAAACCCACGTTAATTTCCCATGGTTTCAAGTATACATCAGCTAATGATGATACCAGAGAAGTGACGTTTTTGGGGGAAAAATCATGGTGAGCATTAGAAACTAGAAAGACTTGTTAACAGGATTCCTTTTTTGGGCTTTTACCCCCATAAGTTCAGCCCAGCACAACCAATAGGTTCCATCACACAAGCATCACCTCCAGTGTGAGGTTTCAATTCTTAGAAATAGGGAGGTTCTCGATGCTATCAATGTACTTCTTGGGTATTTGCACCTTTTTGAGTTTTGGCTTCCCCCAAATTTCTTATTGCAATTATTGGATATTGTACAAAAGATTAGCAAAACATTCAAGTCTTATTAGCTTTGAAGGTTAAATTTTCATTGTCTGCTTGTGTAAATTAGGTTCATCCTTATGCTGCCACCGGTAACAAGAACTCCAATTTTGGTATCAGAAATGAGAAGTTGCAATGGTTTCTAGATGCTTTGAAGACATATTCTAATGAATTGAAACTTGTGGGGGCCCATTGCATTGGTTCTACCATTACCATGATATTATACCAAAAAACTGCTTTTTAACTTTTCATTTTTCCAATCAACTTTAAAAAGATTTGTTCTATAGAAAGAATGTTCTCTACAGTTCTTTTTTCTTTTGCAATTTTTCTACGTTAGGGACACGAACACTAAAAAGTTTGTATGGAGGAACATAGCAACGAGATTCGGGGTCCCCGCGCACTTATATCGGATAATGGAACGCAGTTCAACAACAGACCCTTCAAGTCCTTCTGTGAGTATCTTGAGATCTTGAATTACTACTCCACCCTTGCATATTCGCAAGCTAATGGGCAAGTTGAGTCTCCAAACATGACTATCATCAATGGAGTCAATAAGAGATTGGAAAAGGCAAAGAGAAAGTAGATGGTTGAGCTCCTGAACGTTCTCTGGGTATACAGGACCACTCCTTGGTCCTTGACGGAAGAAATACCTTACGCCCTCACATACGGAGTGTTGGAGGTAGGCCTCCATACCATAAGAACACAAGCTTTCGACGCCGGGGATAACGATCGCCAACTTTGCTTGGATATGAATTTCGTGGAGGAAAGAAGAGAAGTGGCTGCCCTGAAACTTGCCAAGTATCAAGGAGTGTCCAGACTTTACAACAGAAGGGTTAAACCCTGAGAGTTCCAGGTGGGCGACTTGATGCTCAGAAGAGTAGTGAGAAACACCCGGGATCCAACGAATAGGAAGATGAGACCTAATTGGGAAGGCCCGTACAAAGTTACAACAGTAGGGGGCTTTAGATCGTATAAATTAGAAGACATGGAAGGGAATGCTGTAGTTCAACCATGGAATGTAATGAATCTAAAGAAGTATTACTTTTGAGAAGTAAAGACTCGTTTTTGCTCAAAGGCTCATTTTCGTGCTAAGTGTACTGTTTGGGAAGGGACATGGCTCCAGGGGCAGGGTCCTAGAGACTTTTGCCTCCAAATAGAAATAGGAGCATGTCTCCTAAAAGAGGCATGCCCCAGAGGCAGAGCTCTTGGATTGATGCCTCCGAATAGACCTCGGGGCATGGCCTTCTGAGAGGAAAATGACCCCTGACAAGAAACACTTGCAAATTTTATGCAAGAAGGATGGGACAAAAGGAGGATCCAGCGACCTTGGCATTACCCACGCGTGCCCTCAGTGTCAACATCCCTCCGATTCTTCGATGATTTACATGTCACCTCAGGGCATGATGGGACACTTGGCCCGAGATGCCCTATGGACCAATAAGCTCACGATATGTGTCCTATGCAAAATGTTCTCTTAGCCTCATCTACGGGGATATGTCACCTTGGGCAAAGATGGAACACTGGACCAAGAGATCCTGAGGACCTATGAAAATTCGACTCGTGTCCTCGGCAAAATATTTCCTCAGAGTTTTTCTCTCCCTACCAAAGAAAGATGAAGCAAAGGGGAAGATCCTTCCCCCAAGATGCCATATTTGACAAAAATTCGGAGTAATAGCACAAAAAAAAAAGAGAGGAGAAGGCACACTCTTTTTCCCGAGGGATCTTTCCCCCTCGAACACTTTTTTCCCGAGTGCTCTTTTCGCCCGAGGACCCTCTTTCCTGAGGTTCTCTTCCCCACGAGAACACTCTTCCTCTTGAGGGCTCTTTTCTAAGGAGGAATACCTCGACTCCGAGGCTTGACACTTGGTGCAGCGAAGTAGAAAATAAGAAAAGGGAGCCAATGAGACAGGAATCAAGAAACAGACAAGCAAAAACAAAAAAGCAAAAGTCAACACGGTGGGGGAAAAGTGTTTTTCATTCAAAAGGAGGGCTTTGCGTCCCTCAAGCAAACTACAAGAAAGAAAGAAGTTACAAGGAAACAAAAACGGAAGAAAGTTTAAGTTTGAGAAGCAGGAGGTAGCCCATCAACCTCGTCGTCGATGTTCCCTCCAACATCTCAAAAGAGCTCATCAATACTGGCAGAAAGAGTGTCAGCCTTGTTGGGGGGAGGCACCTTAGCAGAAACAACAAGGACATTGGCTTAGGGAACCAGAAGAGCAGAGTCAAGGATAGGAGCAGGAGTTGAAGTAGGAATAATGGCAGGAGTTATGTCGATAGGAGTAGGAACCACAGTCTGAGGAGCTGGGGCCGAGGTCAACACTTAGGCTGTATCAGCACCTTTAGCCAGAGCCCCTGCTGCAACTTCTACTAAAGCTTGCACCATGTCTTTAGAGGGGACATACTTATGCATCTAGAAAAGTGGGGAGTTGGTAGGCACACCTACCGCTTGAAACGCCTCATCCTAGCCTGCCTTGAAGTACTTTC